CACATACCTTAGTCGTATCAATGTTATGCAACAGGCTAGCCATTTTACACCGAGAGTGATGAAAAGGTCTCTTCTGATTGGGGTTTTCATATTGGTTGGAGCAAAGAGATGTCCTTGAAATCCAATATTACGCAACCACCAAAATAGGACTGGTTCTAAATGGGGGACCTAGAGTCATGGGCCCCTTCATAAATCAGCATTATGCAACAGGCTAGCTGTTTTCTAACGAGATCTACGAACATGTCTACTCTAGAGGAGACTTCATGTTAATTGCTACAAGAGGATTGGACTTGTAGTCTAACACTACTAACTACCAAATTTAACCTTATTTTTTCTCTCTGCTTTTTCCAAAGCTCGGGTGTAGAGCCTTTATCATGATATCAAATCCCTAAAACCGACACATGGATATACATAGATATATAAATGCCATAAAGCAAAGATAAACATATAATCAAATAAGAAAAGGAAACAAACATAGCTAACACACAAATAACACCTAACTAAACTAGGCTTGACTCACTTAGGGATGGGAAAGTATCCAGCAGAGTCGCCATCTATCGTACCTCGAAAAATGAGCACGATCTTACGAAGCGTACTCACACACCCGCGGGATGGACTTAATAGAGTCGCCACCGATATTTATTTATTCCCATAGAGGAAAGGGAAAATATCAAATAAAACCCCTAAAAATAAGGACAAGGATATGGTCATCGCAACCAATGTCTAAGTTCGGGAGTCGGTTATGCAAGGAGAAGGTATTAGCACCACTCACATCCGTTGTACTCAATGAAAACCATTTAGTTAAGATTTAATGAGTGTTAGCTTAAGGTTTGGTTTTTAATCTTATACTTATTTGGGATAGGAAAGAGAGAGAAGAGAAATGTTTTTAGATTTTTTATTAGATAAAGGGAACCTAAAGAGGTTTTATTATTAGGGTGCTCGCCAAGACTTCGCAGTCTCGTACCTACGTATCCTTACAAGGATGGTATCATAGTAATCGTAGTTCAAATAAAAGTTTGTTGGTTGATTTTAGTGAAATCTAAATTGTATTAATCAACGTAAGAACTTTGTTTTACCTAAAACAAGTGAGGAGCGGGTGTTTTCACCACATTGAATGGATTTACAAATCTCATTCATGCGACTTACCTCAACTCAATGGTTGTACAAAAAACATCACCTTAGTGTTTACTAAGGTAACATATCTTTCATTTTGAAAGGAATCTTTAGACCTTATTAGGTGTCTTGAAGGTTTATTAATAAAATACACTTGATGACAATCAAGGTTTGTTCATAACTATGAAGTTGTTTTGGTCTCTTGATGATAATACAGGTATGTCCATGAAAATGGAGGTTTGAGTATTACTTGGATATGTTTTAAGAATGATGAACATTTGATGATGATCATTTTGTTCAAAGATTTTGTGCTAAAGTGCTAGACTCCAACATTCTCTTTCATTCAAGATTGCTTAAGAAAATTGCTTGTAGACCATGAACATTGATAATGATCAATGGCTTAAAGAGTTGTGCTAGAGTGCTAGACTCTAACATCTCTTGGTCCAAGTTATTTATTAAGTGTTTTAAGGATGAAAGAAAGAAATAATTGGTTATCTCAATGTGCAAGACTTGATACCAATCTTTCAAGGGTTTTGCTAGAATGTTAGATTCCAACAATCCTTTTCTTTCAAGTTTATTTCAAAAGAATATTGATGTATTTTGAAGTATTTTAGCTATCCTTAAAGAAGGAAGGTAGTCTTGAGATGGCACTTGGCAAAGAGACAAATTTTGAGAGGGCACTATAGTGAAAAAGAAAAGGGTTGAAAAGAAAAAGGTAGGAGGTGGCTCACCAAGGATTAGGATCCTTGTGTCTACGTATTCTCATTGATAAATAAGAAATCAGAGCATCCATAGTTCTGGGTCTACAAAGTTTGTTTGTTATATCGAACAAATGTTTAGATCGCGATATAAGGGAGAAACATTAGCTTTTCTACTCTTGGTAGAGACTTAAGCATTTAATTTACAAACGCATTAAAAGGAACTAAACATTGTTCCTTTGAAAAAAGTTTTAATCGCACGACAGCGAGAGAAATAGAATTTGAATGGTTGAGGTATACTAAGTGAGCGATGAACATTTTATAAAATATTCAAAGAGTTATGTTAGAATGCTTGATTCCAACGACCCTTATTCATTCAAGTTGATAATGAAAATTATCTGATGGACAACGAACACTTATTGTTAGTCAATTGTTCAAAGAGTTATGTCAATATGCTAGATCTCAACGACTCTTATTTATCCAAGTGGCTACGAAAATATTTGATGGATGAAGAACGCTTGATGATAATTAATTGATCAAAGAGTTGTGTCAAGATGTTAGATCTTAACGGCTCTTATTCGTCCAAGTAGACATTAAGTGTTTTGAAAAAAAAAGAGGATAATGAACAACTACCCCAATGCACGAGGCTTGGGACTGATCATTCGAGGGTTCTACTAGAATGCTAGATTTCAACAGTCTTATTCTTTCGTTTGAAGTTAAGTAGATTAACTTATCTTAAGTGTTTGAAACTTATCTTTGACAGGTAATGATCCAAACATCATGTTAGATAAAAACATAACTCATAATTATCCTCAACCTTAAATGGCAAACTATTTATACTCAAACAAAGGTTAAATGAACTTAGTCAAATCGAGTCGAAATCATCTCTTAAGTACCAATTTTTGAAAGAAGGACTATTATTTTTATCATTATTATTTTTTAGAAATAGACAAAACCAAGCATAATTTATACATAACATGCTTAGTCTAATTTTTAAAAGGGGTAGGAAAACAAAATAAGTTGAGAAAATAAACTAAAACACAATATACAAATTTATTAAAAAAAGATTGATATAATTTTATGTTAATAAATTAGTTATGAAATCAAAGTGGTTCTTCTTCTTTTATAATTAATTTTTCTTTTTTTTAAATAATAATAGTAAAACAATAAATATAAAAGATTATATAAAAAGAGAGAAACTTGTTTTAAGATGTTACTAAATAAAAAAAACCTAAAATTTATTATTTAAAAGAAAAAAGAAATTTGTTCATATTAATTAATTAAAAAAAAGAAAAAAAAAGCAAAGGGATGAGTATGTAAATAGAAGTAAAGGGCATGAGAGCCCAAAAACCTCAGCACATTTCGAATTCATTTCGAATTCAGAAAGATGGGTGAGATACCTATTTGACCCGGTTCGTATTGGCTGATACTCAAAAAGGTAAAGAGTATTGAGTTACAGGGTTGTTTTCACTTTCTTGAAAAAAACAAAACACTCCTTATTCTTTCTTCATCCAAAAACAAGATAACTACTCCTTTTACACTAAAAACCGTCTTCATCTTTTTTATCAAAGCTTAATAGAACTAAGAACTAAGCAACCATAATCCTATTTTCCTAAATCGAATTTATCAAAGCTTAATAGAACTAAGAACTAACCAACCATAATCCTATATTCCTAAATCGAAACCAGTGCGTCTAACACGAAATCGAAACCAAAACATAAACATTAGCAAAACAACGGAAACTTTAATGATTTCAAAACAATTTTCAGAGTTAAAAAACAAAGCTACGCAAAAGGTTCAACAATAGAATCAACATAATAAACTAAATTGAAAGGTAATTCAATCAAAACAAATAAAGTTTGGTCTGATTGTCTTAGCATTGCTTTGTTTTGTGGGGTCTTCTATATTTTTCTTTATAACTTGAACTAGGTTCTGGTTTGATAGGGTCTGGATAGGTTCTGTTTAGCCGACATCCAATCTCAGGTAGTGTAATCTTTCTCCTTGAATCCGCTTTGAGTCAGCAAGTGAATCTTGCTCAACCAAAGAATCAAAATCCAGTTGCTCTTGCTCAACAAAGAATCAGTTGCTCAACCAAAGAATCAAAATCCAAAGTGAATTGTAATGAGTAGTGATTTAATTGACTCTCTTTGTTTTGTCTTATTTCTATAGTTATATTAACTACAAACCTCTCTGACATAAGGTTGACGTGCGCTTTTCTTTTTTTTTAAACTATTTTTTTTTTAATTTTAGTAAAAAAAAGAAAGTAAATTAAAAAAAAAACTTTTAACTATTTTTTTAAAATGTATAACTAAGTAAATGTAATATGAAAATATAATTACTATTATTATTTGTTCGATTATTGTAATAATAAAAAAAATATATTTATTGAAATATTTGTTTTTGTCATTTTTATGAAAAAAATTAATATAAAACTTCTTTTTTTTGTTAAAATTTTTTTTATGATGTAGAAAAAACATAAAACAAAACTATTTTTTTTTAATTGAAAATTGAGAATAATAATAATAATAATAAATAAAACCTAACGATAAGTGCGACAAAATTTTTTATTTAAATTTAAAAGTAAATAAATAAAATTATCACTTTTTTAAAAATTTGTTTTACTTTAAAAATGATTAAAAAAAAAAGAAAAACTAATTATTATCATTACTATATTCAAATCAAACACAAAAAATAAAATAAAATAAAAGCCTTTGTTAAACATGTTAACAAGACAACATTAAACAAGACTTAATGTATTTTTGAAATAAAATACAATTCTACTTAATTAAAGTAAAGTTTTAATGACAAAGTTTCTAAACTTTCAAAAAAATTCATGTAATGCAACAAGTGTCCATGTAGTGCATTGATAGAAAAAAATATAACAAACAAATATATGAATGGTTATCATATGTGTATGCGTGAGTAAAACACAAACAACTAATTATAGCAAAAGTCATGATATTCACAAGAGTCATGCTATCTTACTGACTCTAAGAATAAGTTGAATTTAACAAAAGTAGCATAAACCATTGCTAACTAATCTCTGGTCATTGAATTTATGCATGAAAGATCTCTATGACCAAATGTAATGGTCATGAGAAATTATGCAACATGGGATACTAATGAATCATAAAGACAAATGACTTGGAAACAAATGAGTGAATGTGGATGAATTATGTGGGGCAAAATTTAGGGTATGACACCAAGCATACCAGCTAATTCATAGAATTTTGTGAGATGAGTGTAGGGATCTTCATGATCAAGACCAATGAAAGGATTCGCATAAATAATATGAAGTAATCCCGTCTTCATCTCTGCTTGCCTAGTATTGGTAGGAGTTCTGGCCAAGTGAGCCAATCGCCTCAGGCTGTTGTGACATGGCATACTACCAACTATACTTGGGTTGTTTTTTATGCCATTTCTGGTGTTGTCGTCAACCTCAGCCATGACCTTTTCTTGTTGTGGAGAAGAAGAAATTGAGGTAGAAGTTCCTTATTGTTACTTTCGTTGCATGGCTAGTTGTTTGCATATTCTGGTTTTGCTGTTTTTCCTTCGGATAGTCCTTTCAATCTCAAGATCAAAAAGAAGTTGATCTTCCAGAATTTTACCTCGCATACATAGAACTTATAACCTAACCACACGAGTGAGCAGCAGGATAGGTAAAAATACATGTACAATACTAAGTTTGCAAAATTTGCTTATACAAATATGAACCGTCACAATGCTTGATGGTTGCAATATTCTACATCAAAAGTAAGTATTTGTTTATATTAACCATAGGGATTGATGCAATGTTAATGTTGTTCAATAGTTGATATAGTTTAAGTGAACATTTATCGAGTTTTTTGTTTGCAAAGAGTATGTAATGTAAAAAAAGACGATCTGATAAGTAAAGTTTCAAAGATAAGACGACTTGTTGGGATTGGGGTTCATCCACCGATTATGCATGTATACTTCTGATGAGTTATACATAGGTTAGTTGTCTGGTCAATATTATCAAATGCCGCTCGCCAATAGTGTTTATGTTTAAACCCTGACAAAATTTCAACCGTATTGTTTAATCGAAAATCTCCCAGCCTATTAAACAATATAGTCATTAAGATTCGATAATATGGTGAATGTTAAACCTAAATCTATATCTAAAGTTTAGCATCTAATACATGATTATCCTGGATTGAGACTCGAAGAGTATTTCTTAATAACGGTTTGAATATATAAGTAAAACAAGTAAATGAGGATAACATCAATATCAATAAACAACTAATTCATATATAACGCCATGATCATAATAAATATACATCCAATCCAAACAAGAAAGAGATTTAGCTAGTCATGGTAGCTTTGATGTGTTTCTAGCTCGTATTCTTCAAGTTTTCCTCTTCTCTCAGTCTCTCTCGTTCTAATGTTGTATTTTTCTCTAAATTCTCCAAGTCTCCCCTAATGAAATGTTTCTAAAACTATATATAATGGTTGTGTCCTGCTGCTTTCTCCTGGAGAGTTCTTACCTTGTAACACCCTTTTCTACCCTACAAATATAATGGCAAATCAATCATATTTATCAGAGTAAAATATTGAACGCAATAAAATCATCTCAAAAGGGCGCACATTTCTCAATAATTCAAATATAGTCAATGCTCCGTAAACAACAGGTTTTTCCCAAAATTACTCAAAATATTACTCAAAAGGCAGCGGAACTCAAAAATGCAAAATCCAAAGTTTTCCTTGCGCAGCAACATAATCAAAATAACAATAATCAATAAAGCATGGTTTAACTCAAAGACCCCAACCCGATGTTACACTATCAAAGCAAGACCCTCTATGTCAACCACAATGGCCAACAACCCAAAAACTTCAAAAAGTCCTCGACGACATCCACGACTAAACTTGATCATCTGCACGTTACCCACATGGAGGCAACATTCAAACAGGCAGAGTGAGTAAAACGATTCAAATTAATCTATATATAAAATGACATCATTTTCATATTCAACATCATCATAATCATCAAGGAACATCAAAGGCCACAACATTATAAATTACACCAAAATGTCACATAAATGCAAATGCAACAAGACTCATGCATGTGGTATCAATCAAAAAAATTCGATGGACACTAGACCATCAACCCTCCATAGATCCACAACAGTAGGATCGATTCTACACGAGAACCAGAGCACGAAAAAATACCTCACATCCGCACAATGGAACTAAAGCCACAAAAATCAAGGTCCTAGACCGAAGTCCGGAATGCATATGAATGCATGATACATACGTCAATATCATCCTCATAGTAAACTCATTAGGTGCATCATCATTCATCAAAATTATCATAATAATCATGTCATCATATAATCATCAAAAACTCATGGAATCAATATCATAAATCATCACAATTACTCATAGGAATCATCATACAATCATGTATTACTCACATAGGAATCATAGTCATACTCATGGTAATTCATCAAAGAAACACAACATCAAAACATCAAGACATAACTTCACAAGATCATAATTCACGAAACTCTGCTACGTTCTCTAGCAAGTTCGTCGTGCGAGTCTGGGGCAAATGTTCGCCATGCAAAGCATTCTTCACTGTGCGAACTCGCGATTATAGCAAATCATTGTTACGCACCAGCACCAAAACCAGTCCAAAAACCTCTACGATTTCCTTCCTCAATACCCTAAAAACATCCCTAAATCATTCCTAAGGTATTAAGGCGATAAAGGCACAAAACCTACGACTTATTAGGCCAATCCTGTATCATATTTACGCCTCCAATTCCCATAATTTCTTACAACTACCCCATAGTCATTTCTCACAATCAATTACCCTACATGATTAAAACCTCATCAACAGATTTTGGCCACGAAGGTCTAATTTCCCTTATTCCCAAATCAGCCTCAAACTTATCAGACCATCAGTTCAAATCCCTCAAACTTATTGAACTTACCATCAAAAAGGCAACAACAATTCAATACTCAAAAATCCCTAAACCCTTAAATCAACTTTAAACACATTGAATCACATATTGAAAATAATGAAGGCAATACTCCCCATACCTTAATTGTCAACTCTAAGCCTTTCTCCTTTGATTCTCGGAAACCTCGCGAAGCCTTGCCTCAATCCTCTTCCTCAGACCTCTGGCCTCTATTTCTTCTCTTTTCACGGTCTAACGAGAATGAATCCTAATTTCCTCAAAATTCCTTTTTGTTAAACCTAACTTTGGGCCTTAAAATTGGGCTTTCCAACTTCACCGTCCAACATAATTTATGTTTCTTTTTATTAATTGTCCATTTCTTCTTTGTCCTTTTTATATTTTTGTTTTGATTTATATTTTTAACATATATATATATATATATATATATATATATATATATATATATATATATATATATATATATATATATATATATATATATATATATATATATATATATATATATATATATATGTATGTATATATATATATATATATATATATATATATATATATATATATATATTTTAAATCCCATCTATATTTACCTATATTTTTCAACATAATTAGTGAAATTATGTTGCTTATAAATTGCATATGTATTGTAAGTTTAGAGTATGCCTAAGAGGGGGAGTGAATTAGGCTTTAGAAACTTTTTCCGGTTTTTCGAGATTCTTGAATTTTACTTGGTTATGATCTTGATGATGAAAGCAGTAAAAGCATTATGAAAATGGACACAAAGATTTATAGTGGTTCCCTTCACAATCCGAAGGTACTCCACTCCCCTTTCCACATGAAAGAGAGTTTTCACTATAGTTTTAGAATGTACAACCTATCACACCATCAACCGGTGAGGCCTACTATCTAACAACTATTTCAACAACTTAGTGTGCAAGAACAATCCTCTTGCAAGCACTAACCCTTGTGTCCAAATATCCTGGATCACAAGTCACAATAGAAATAATTCTGTAATTCTTTGATTTGAGAGTGATACAATAATATCAATACAATGATTGATCTTCTCCTTTTGATCAAAATTCACTTTTCAATATCAATACAAGTGTTCAAAATTTCTGGATATGAAATGGTATGAACAGTATGAACACTTTTTGAAATATTTGAAATATAGTGAATTTGATTGAATGATTACATTGAAAATTGTTGGAGGTATTTTTCAATTTGAAATTTTCAGATTTTATATGAGTCAAAACACCATTTCAAAAAGGTATAATTGAGTATGAATCAAATAATGAAAAGGTATAACATTCAAACAAGATTTGAATATTAAAAGAAACAATTTTTCAAAATTCGTTCAGTGTTAATTGGTTAATCATATAGGTTAATCGGTTAACACTTGAACGTTAGCCCTGAGAATTTAAAAAGTTGAGACCGTTAACCGATTAACCCATATGGTTAATCGATTAACACTGTTAAAACTCAAAAAAAATACTTGATTTAAAAGTGTTATACCAGTTCCAAATGATTTTAAAAACATGCATATGCAAAATGTTAATATGATAAATTATTTGAACACTTGTATATCAATTAAAGGAGTGAATATTGATATACCAAAGCTTTGAGTCCAAATCTTGAAAGTTGTAGAATCATTTGCACATGAAGCTTGATTTGCATGACAACATTCCATAGTCTTGATCTTGATCAATGTATTCTTGATGGTATGTTTGCACCTCTTGCTTTTTTAGAAGAGTTTAGAATAGAGAAGCTTCTGGTTTTATCTTCAGTGTATATACCCCCACGGGTATATAGTGCAAGCAGCTTCTTAGTACATATACCCTCATGGGTATATAGTGTAAGTATCTTGATCAATTTGAAAGCTTGACTTTTTGCAAACATGGAATGAGCTTACGTCTTGTTGACATCATCAAAACCTTGAGATTGAAGTATGCTTCTACATGTATTTGGCAGTTACATTAACAAAATGGAAAATAATACCCGTCAGATATCAAGTCAACAACAAAGGGCAAGAATGGCCAAAAATGAAAGGAAGAGGAGACAAAATATGAACATCGAGCAAAGAGAAAATTATTTATCGATACGACGTGACAATTATAGGCGGCGAAAAGAGCAAGATAAACAAGCTCAAACATCTCGCATTATGAACAGTCGGAGGAGAGTTCCATTTCAAAATTTTACAAATATGAGATCTCCAATATCACATTTTCAAGGAACTCATGACAATGAAGCCGACCCAAGTAGAATTACACATGTTAATGATGTTGCACTTGGTTGGTGATGATTAATATAGATATTACAATCGTACATTGTATAATATTGTTTATTTGTCATTTCTCATTTTATGTATTTAAACCCGCAGATCATAATTGCACATCACCTAACCAACGTATCAATAATAGTCACTCTGCTACAGGTATACGGAATATTGTTCTATGTATGCGAGCAGTAATTTCAACATATATATATATATATATATATATATATATATAT